CAGTACCTATGTTCATTGGTACTTATGTTCATCAGTACTTGTGTTTTCTGGTATTTATGTTCATCGGTACTTATGTTTCCCAGTGCCTATTTTCATTGGTACTTATGTTCCCCAGTACCTATGTTCATCAGTACTTATGTTTTCCAGTACCTATGTTCATTGGTACTTCTGTTCATGAGTACTTGTGTTTCCTGGTACCTATGTACATTGGTTCTTATGTTTTCCAGTACCAATGTTCACTGGTACATGTTCATCAGTACTTGTGTTTCCTGGTACCTATGTTCATCGGTACTTATGTTCCCCAGTACGTATGTTCATTGGTACTTGTGTTTTTCAGTACCTATGTTCACTGGTTCATGTTCATCAGTACTTGTGTTTCCCGGTACTTATGTTCATTGGTACTTACGTTCCCCTTTGCCTATTTTCATTGGTACTTATGTTCATCAGTACTTGTGTTCCCCAGTACCTATGTTCTTTGGTACTTAGGTTAACCCAGTACCTATGTTCATCAGTACTTATGTTCCCCAGTATCAATGTTCATTGGTACTTATGTTCATCAGTACTTATATTTCTCGATACCCATTGGTTTATCACCAGTGCCTATGTTAAATGGTACTTTGATTCCCTAGTACCAATGATCACAAGTACTTATGTTTCCCAGTACCCATGTCCACCAAGATCTATAGATCCTTAGTACATACATGTTCCCCTGTACTTATTCTCCCGAGGTTAATAAGTAACAAAAGATGCTTAGCTGGTCCTTAACTGTAATGTCATACAATGACAATAAAGGTTTATTCAATTCCACCTTAATAAATGAACACTACCTGAGAGAACAAACTGGATCCAGCATTGTTGTTATTTGCAAAACAGCCAAGAGTGGAGGATGATTATTCAAAATTTATAAACAGTATGAATACATAAAAATGTGTTAATATAATGTACCAGTATATAAAAATGTCATGTGTTTTAGTTGTATGGCCTGAAGAGAAAAAGGAAAGCAGATTTTATCGTTATAGATGAATAAATTCCTTAACGTCAGCTAGGTGTACAACACATCATTTCAGTATCCCTACTATCAGATACTCAACAGCTGCGATTACATCAATTCATTAAAGAAACTACTAGTAAGGATATGATATAGTAGCAGTTTGACTGCGCTCTGCAGGAAGTACTACAGGTTAATTGATGTAATTAAGTAGAGCAGCCTTTAAATACCTAAAATTATTTAAAAACCCTGCAGGCATTTTCCATCATCAGTAACTCTGAGTGACGTCAGATAATGTTTGTCTTTCTGCAAACCAGAAGGAAGAGTTTTAATAAAAAGGAATATCAATGAGCTAAAACTTCATTTTCAATTGAATATTTTATTGCAATTTATTCCAGTTAAACTCAAAGTATATAAAAAGGACAAACATATCAACACATACATGACTAAAAGAAACAAAAACAGAAAAAACACACAGAAGCTAAAAACCATCTTTATATATGAATTTGTGTCCTTTGAGTTAAGAGATGTCCGTCGAGCCGTCGTCTCTGCGAACATGACCAGTCCGTGTCGGCGTCTTCGCTTCAAAGACGAGCAAAAACACAAACCTACAGCTAACGCTTTGTCTTCCAGAGATTCTGAACTAAACAAAAAGACCTAAAGATGTTCGGGGGGGTGAGATGACAGGACCATGCTCGTGTTTTCTGTGCACATTTCTACAACATAAGTGTTAAAACAGGAAGCCGAGCTCAGAGTTTACGAGTCGTCGTCGCCGTTCACGCTGTAGCCGTCGTCGTCGTCTCCCTCCACGTGCTCCCCTTCCTCCTCCTCGTCCTCGTCCTCCTCTCGCTCTTGACTTTTCACCTGCGAACGCAGCGGATTTGTGAGGTTAAAGAGTATCGATGGGTACCCGAACGGCGTTTTTTTTCCCAAACTGTTCTCACCTCTTCCTCCTCCAGCAGGTCTCCCTCCTCCTCTTCCTCCTCCTCGTCTTCGTCCTCATCCGAGTCGTTTATGCCCTGGCTCTCCCGGTCTCTCTTCGAGCCGTCGTCCTTCTTGTTGCTGGAGTGCGGGGGCGATGTCACCTCTCCCGGCTCAGTTTTTATGCTCTTAGCTTGTGGCGGACACGAGGACACGTTAATTTACAACGAACGGCCGCTTCCCGGGAGGTTAAAGGTCAAACCCTGACTGAAACGCTGAGCGAAGCTCTTACCCAACTTCTTGCTGTGGTCCTTCTCCATGCGCTCCAGGCTGTCCAGCAGGTCGTCCACTTTGCTTTTAATCTGTGTCAGCTCCCTTTTGATGATCTGCAGGTCGTCCACCCTCACTGCAATAATAATAATAATAATAACAATAATAATAATAATAATAACAATAAYAATAATAATAATAATAATAATAAACCAGGTTGGTCGGGACTGGGGACCCTCACTTGGTCTGGAAGATGAAGTTCTCTGGCTGCTCCTGGATGAAGACGAGAAGCTGCTTTTGGTCCGCCGGCCGCTTCCTCCGCTCAGGCTGACCCGCGGTCGTTTGGACGGGATCACGGCCCGGGACAGAGGAGGGGGCGGAGCCGGGACACGAGACGGGTACGAGTACATTCTGTGTCAATCAGAAACAGAACAAGATCAAACTTCTGGTCTGCCTTGAACACAAATTATTATAAAATGTTTGATTTTGATCTAATTCTGCAGACTTTAAGCTGTTTATAAATAAAAAATTCAGCTGATTCAGGAGGCGGGTGCTGTGACGTTTGATCCTTTATACTTTTTAAAATATTTACTTCATTTACAAAAACATCCCAACATGTTGAGGAATCTTCAGTTACTCCAAATTAAATACGTTACTTCCAACTTTACCAGCACACCTGGTTTATTTTTGTCTTTTTAGTTTTTAGCTGTTGGTCCTTTCGAGCTGGTCTTTTAGTTTTTGATTGCTAGCCTTTAGATTTTTTAGCTTCTCTTTTAATCATCTTAAGCTTTCTGAACCTTTCCAGTTTGACTTTTGACCCTTTCACCTAATCTTTTGGGTTACCCTTTTAGCTACTCAACCTTTTTAGCTACACTTATGCCTTCAGCTAGCTTTTTGATACATGTCTTTTCTTTTTTTAGCTACTCTTGATCATTTTAGCTTGCCATCTGAACCTTTCTAGCTGGACTTTTGACCCTTTAACTTACCTTTGAGATACTTTTAAGGCTTTTCGCTGCACTTTATCTTCGGCTAGCTTTCTGATACGTAACTAGCCTTTAGATCCTTTAAGCTGCCCTTGATCATTTTGGCAACTCTTGATCATTTWAGCTAGCCTCATGAACCGTTCTAGACTTTTGACCCTTTAATTTACTTTTTTGAGCTGCTCTTCATCCTTYTGGGCTCAATCCTTTCAGTTAGCTTTGATTGTTTTTAATTCTTTTAGCTAGCATTTTGATACTAATATACATTTTTGTACTTTCCAGTTTCAGCAACCATTTTTCTACTTGGCAACCCTTCTGCTACTTTAGCTTTAATCTGGCATATGGCTTTTTCATTTTAAGCTGGCACGTTTCTTTTAGCTTCACCATTTCAGTTTAAAGTCATTCAGTCTGAGTGTTGACAGAAAACCTTTGTAGTTTTGTCTGTTTGTTTAAAACATCAGTTGAGTTTACAGGCAGACAGAAAGTGAAGATTTTTCACTCACCTGTCGTAATAATCTCTCTGGAAATCATAGTCCAGGTCAAACGATGAAGTGCTAATAAAGAAACAGAAACACATGAGGGAAAATATGCAGGCCTGACAGCATTACTACAATGTTTTCAGTTGTTTGTTAAAAGCTCATCAATCATCTGACTCAAGTTTCCTCCTTGTTACTCAACAAGGGAATTTATTGTCAACACTGCCAACAACCATCACCTGCTGCGACAACATCAGACGTGTACCTGTACATGTCTCCAGCCGAGCGTTTGGAGGTTTTTGACCTGTGAGGTTTGGGTTCACCGGCCAGATTTATGTCTGAAGAAGAAAACAAAAATAAATAAATATATATAAATATATTCAATTCCTTTATTCATTTCATTAAAACAAAACAAATAAATTTATATACAAGAATAAAAGTTTGGAGGTTTTTGACCTGTGAGGTTTGGGTTCACCGGCCAGATTTATGTCTGAAGAAGAAAACAAAAATAAATAAATATTTATAAATAAATTCAATTCCTTTATTCATTTCATTAAAACAAAACAAATAAATTTATATACAAGAATAAAAGTATAGAAAGAAAAAATATATATCAAAATCACAAATAAAATCAAATGAAAGGAAGCAGAGAGAAGAAAAAAAATCTNTATATCTTTGCCCAAATATACCCATATAAAATGTGTCGTAAATTATTAAAAGACTGAAAAAAATGCATGAAACAAATTACAAAAAAGCCCAAAACATAAGGTAAGCTGTAAAAACTGAAACTTCAGCCAAACCAGAGGCATTATTTTGATTTTGTTTATTATAAACTTAACTGTGTTCAACAAAAACATTTTTGCAAACAAACTATAGATTTTAGATAAACATGTTTATTTTAAAACAAATCAGGTGAGTGTATTAATGTAACCATTATCTATTTATTAAATAAATCATGAGGTCAATAACTTTTATGGTTTAGATAAAATGTTGGTGTGATGTTTTCACAAACAACTAAACACAGACCGGAACACATTTTCACCAAAACAGAACCCTGATTGTTTTGAAATCTTTATCTCTATTTAGAAATTGTTGTTACACTTTTTCTCAGTCATGCAAAAGCGTAACTGATTTGCTTATTTAAAACTAAACAAAATAAGGTCTCACTTAAGCAGAGTTTAAAGCAAATATTTACATGTGTACAAATCAAACTCTTTAAATAAAAGCCCAAATTTTTTCAGGCGTCCTAAAACTTTAATACCGCACGAAAAGACGGAGTCAGAAATGTTTGACTCTAAATGTAACAAAACAAACAAAATAATTCAAAGGAGCCAATCTGAATGCTCTTCATCATCGTCTCTGTCCAACAGCTCTCTTCAATAAGTTTTTTTCTTCTTTAAACAAACTTTATTCRGACCAATAATCGGTCTTTGGAAAGGTTGTTGTACGCTTAGAAAAATGTTGATATTAAAATCAGTGTTGATSAGATTCCAACACCAGGACATCTTCCAGGAGTCCGATTGAAAAATGTAAGTTTATGATTTTCAGCCCCGTTCCATGGAGGCAAAAAATAAGAGCATTTGGGTAAATTTGCTTCAATCAATACGACTAATAGAAAGGTTTTTATAACAAATTTTTATTTGATGTTTGCCTTTTGCTTGATAGATTTGATGCACTGGCAGTTGGCGCAGTAATCTGAGTTCTGCTTTCTGGTTTTTTTGGAGCGGTGATTGCCAGTAACTGTATACAGGTAGACATCTTCAGGTGATAAAATGACTTCCCTGATGGAATTGGTCACCTAACCTCATCTTCTTCATCAGCGATGTCTTCAGAATTATTATTTTTGAACAAATCCGAAGCTGWATGAATCTGACCTTGGAGGAGGCTGAGGGCCCATCTTATCTGTCTTCAGTTTGACTGAAGACAGATAAGATGCAGAGATAACGTCAGGAGGTTTGGGTGTGATCAGAACATGTCTGATKGGTGAAGTCATCCTCACCAAACTGGATGTTCTGACCATCAACAAGCTTGACTCATTTTGCTGTTGATGTTTAAACAGTATCAGGTCTGTTCCAGCATGTGTTCTTTTATTAAAAAAAAAAACAACGACCAGGTCCGAGTCCTCACCCAGAACTTGTCCCACGATCATCCTCCCATCCTCCCCGGTGACGGCGGCCCGAGCGTTCCTCTCGTTGGCGTACTGAACGAAGGCGTAGCCCTTGTGGACGGAGCAGCCCACGATCTTGCCGTACTTGGAGAAGATGGCCTCGACGTCCGCCTTGGTGACCAGCAGGGTGTTGAGGTTCCCGATGAAGACCCGGGAGTTGAGGGAGCGCTGGTCGGTCTTGTTGGTGACGTTGCTGCTGGCCATCAGGCTGGAGGTGGAGGACGAGCGACTGACAGAAACACACAAACGTCGAGATTTAGAGGGAGAGCRCCGAGGAGCAGAGGGAAGAAGCAGGGAGAAGAAATCAGCCAGGCTGTAAGAAGGAAGAAGTTAGAAGTTCTCATCAGATCGTCTTTTCTGATATTTTAAAAYTGCAAGAAAAGCTGCTAAAAGCATCAACTGTTTCAGCACCTGAAAATAAAAATGAGACTAAAATAAAAATCACAAAGTCCTCAAACAGTGTGGGATTAAACCAGCACAACAACTTAATCTTTAATTCTCATTTATATTCCACTGTTATAAAACAATAAATACACTGAATAAATGCAGAACGATCAGTTAAATAGCTGCAGCTAACAGATCAATTTAACATCAATGCAAACAAAACGTCTGCCTAGAATCAACAATAAACTTAAACTACATGTTTAATGTAACAAAGACTTTAACATCCTGACACATTTTCTGTCTTCAAACTGCAGCAAAACGCTCCAGTTTTATGTTTTAAAACACTTCACAGCCCCTCTTCCTCTAAGCTGCACAACAAAATGTCATTGTTTCAGCGACTAAAAAAAAATAGGTGCAACTTCCCTGTAACAACAAGCTTCCCTGCAACCATCAAAAGCAAAGAAGAAATCTGGAAACTGTAACCTTCCAGGTGTGGAAACTATTTACTAAAGCTCTAAACTCTTATCCTGAGGCATTTTTACTCATGGGTGGGAACTTTGTTAATAGTTTTAACAACGGAATGCAGATAGTTTAGCTGCAGTATTGTTAAAAAGGCTGAACTCAGGAAGCCGACAGAGTGGGGAGGATTTCGTGACGCAGAGAAACATAAAAACAAGAAGTAGCATCAACAGTAACGTCCCCCAGCTTAGGGGTGAGGAGAGAGGGGAGGGGGGAGGGTTGAACATTCATCACTCACTCCATAGCGTCTGTGTGCAGGGCTGCCGTCTGTCTGATGTTTGGGGTTCAGTTTGGGCTGGTGTCTGGACCTTCACCTTCGCCCCCTCACGATTTATACTGAGGCGACAGAAAACACACCTCAAAGTCAGGCTGGGCAGGGTTATCTGGTACCAAATCTTACCTGGCGGGAAGGTGTGTGCGAGTAGGAATCAATGATTACAGACCTCCCAAAGGAAAGAAAAAGCTGCTGCGTACTGCCACCTAGTGACAGCATCTAGATGTTTATGTGAAGGTGGAGAAAGCAGGACATTTAAATCTAAAATGAAACAAAAACATTGTGACCTAAGCTCAAACTGAGTCACGTGTTGTTAAATGAACCTTATACACAGCTAAAAAAAAAAAGAACTATATTCTGTAATATTTGCACCATTTTACAATTAAGAGCCAATCAAGATGTCTGCTCTTTTCATTCGGTAAAAAAAAAATAATAAAATCACAACTACCACCTGTGTKAGGTTTATGTTTAAACCTGGCTATTTCATGATATACAGAGAAGTCTCAGTTTCATGTCTGCTTGTGACAGTAATTGGACTTTAGATAACAGTTGTAAGTGGGAGGAAATGCAATAAAAGAACATTTTCAACATAAAGCTGTGCTCCTCCATCTCAATTATGTGTCTGAATGGGGAAATAATGAAGCTTTTATTGCTAATAAACRGACCTGCTGGCTGTCCTCCCATTACTTTTCCGCTGTGGTCATTTTATATTTGGATTGAGGAGGACTGGAGCAAATCTATAAGGGCATTTAAATTGAGTATTTAGGCACTTGCTTAAAGAGGTTGATGCATTTCTAGGTGATATCAAATCRTCTGAGGCCCTAGTGTTGCTTTAATATCAGGTGTCTAAACTAAAATGAATGTTTAAAACTAAGATTGTGTTATTTTCAGGGTTTTAGAAGTGTACCTGCACCCTTTATGAGTGATTAGTGACTTTCGTTTGATGCATATTGGGGGGGAATGAACACTGTTTCAATATGAAATGTTTCATTGTATATGCATTGTTGCTATTATGCAAGAAAAGCCAAAACCGCTGGCACTGCAGAGCAATCCAAATACAAAAAATAGCATCATGCGAGGAAAAAAATTAAAAGGTAAAAAAGAAAAGGTTTATTAAAAACAAACAAAAATCAGCTGACCGATGCGTAAAGCCAGAAAGTCTAAAATTTCAAAAATCAATTAAAAAATTACCTAAACCGGTCACAAAACCCCAACAGCGCCCCCGCCAGGCATTCGTGTGAAACAACAGGCCTCGGCGGCTTAAAATCGGCTAGCATGGCTACGTTAGCCAACCACCAAATGAGTTATCTTTAAAAATGTTCAGCAATCTGACCAGTCCTTGAGCACATAAAAAGGATGTCAAAACCTAGAAAATTCAGACAAAAGATGCAGTCGACAGTCTGTAATTAATCACGGATCAGGATGATGCTGCGTCTGAGTGCTAATGCTAACGTTAGCTGTCGGGTCCGTCTAAAAAGCCAAAAACAAACCAGTCCCGTCAAGGAAAAAGCTTCAGAATGATTGTTAGAAAAACAAAACTAAAATAAGCTTGCAAAAATAGGTGTAGCTAAGATGCTTCCAGAGTGTCGTGACTAAAAAATAAAAATAAAAAATTCACAAGCAGCGTTTGTGTCGTTGAGGGGGGACGAGCTAGCTACTCCGCTAGCTAGCACATTATGTCCTGTCCACTCGCAAAATAGAAAATCGTCGTAGAAAAATATCCAAAAAGAAAAGAAAAAGGAAGGGAAAAATAAAAAAAAATGTTGCGGGACAAAATACTCACCACGACCTTTACGAGCAAAATGTTCTTGCTTTTCGGTAAAATTAGTGAAATTGCAAATTTAGGTCGTCCTTTGGGTGCGCATGCAATTTGCCCCTTCAACAGAGAGCTAGCGATCTTAGCCTACGAGCTAACGCAAAAAGGAGATGGCGCAGCGGAGGGCTGATCGTACTCGTTTTGTATCACCTAGTAGTCTTCGAAGGGCGGAGTCTAAAGCAAAATCTGTATACTTTGCGGAATAACGCCACCACCGGTGTGACCTGGTGTCAAAAACGTTTTCTGGTTGCGAACCCAATGATTCCAAAATAAAACGTCGTGATTTCTGGGTTCTGGTTKATATTGAGGATTTTCATTCATTGTTTCTGACTTTTGTTTAACACAAAAGCAGTAATAAATTCTTCTGTCATTATTTAACTTTACAAATGGTTTGGTAATTGCTTGCCACATTATTATATGATCAACAAATTTAGGTTTAATTAATTTTATTTTTTAGTTTCATATTTTATACTCTGTGTTTTTTCCTGCATAGATTTCAACATTTTAGAATATCGATTCAATATTCTAAAATGTTGAAATCTGTGRCACCCACTAAGGCAATTTGCATCACCTTAGTGGGTGCCATAAAACAACAAAATATAGTTTATTTTTTATTTATTTATTTTTATGTACATATCTGCGTCTATTATGTTTTGTATCTTCTGAAACGTTATAAATAAAAAAATAAACTATATTTTGTTGTTTTATGGCTCCCACTAAGGCTTAGTGGGAGCCATAAAACAACAAAATATAGTTTATTTTTTTATTTATAACGTTTCAGAAGATACAAAACATAATAGACGCAGATATGTACATAAAACTGTGATATCATAAATAAAAAACATTATTATAGCATTTATTTTATATAAAAAAAACCACAGGAAAGAGCTACAGATTTGGCGTGTATTGCCAAAGTCAACCAGCAGGTGGCAGTGTTGGTGTGAAACACATTACAGGTGAAGTTCAGAGTCAGGTATCATTTGCCTCATTGGTTAATAAACAACTGAGTTACTAAAAATGTATATACATTTATATAAACAATTGTTACCCATAATGRCAAAATGACCATAACGACAAAATCTAGCAATCCCAGTAAGTAAAATAGTAAGTAATAATCAATTGTTCTATAATCCTTATAATTTCATTAGAAAATGGCTATKTTTTTCTCTGCTGGAGATCCCTTCATTTAATGTTTGTCCAGTGTAAAGTTTGATAATTCGTCCTTTTTAAATAAAGGAATGGAATTTGTGATGAAAAGCCTCCAGACCTGTAATTATCAWGTGCTCAAACTGCCACTAACAAAACGAGCTTGTTGTCAGGGGCTGAAAGAGAAAACAGAAGTTGTGGAGAGTCCAGACCTCGTTGGACTCCGAACTGGGACAGAGGTATCAGCAGATCCTGAGAGATGTTGGTCAGAACCTTCAGGTTCCCCGGCCTCTGGTGGAGGACCAGAACTTGAGGTGAAAAATACGTGTGTGGAAAAGTTTATTTGGACTGTTTTTGTTTCAAGCTACAATGTAAATTGTGTGCATTTTATTTAACTTTGAGTCTGTTCTCACCTTTAGGGTTTATTATTTTCATTCAGGCATGCAAATATTTTTAATTTTTTACCACGCACAAATTGATTTGTACATCTTGAATTGGCCTGCAAAGTTAAATATTTCAGATTTTTTACGTTGAAAGCTATAAAAAGCAGCCCATTACTGCCTATATTCATCATCCTACTGACAAGAGTTTATCAACATAACAATAACTCGACTTTTGTTCTGTTTAAAGTGTTTATTTTACCATTTGGTCTCTTATTTACCACATTTTGGCCCCCTTTTTTGATTTATTTGGCAACCCAGCACATGCAAAGACATCCAAACTTCTTTTTTAAAAATAAATTTCCCAAAGCACAGCACCTTTTGTGTCAAAAGTCCTGCACCGTCCCATAAATCAAAACCCCCAAAATGCTGTCCAACGTTGCAACACTTTATTAGTTAGCCTTTGCCCCATTTACTGAAATAAAACGAGATGTTTTATTTTGGATTAAAGATTCGTGTGACCCTTTGCTTAAATCCTCGTTTTGCCACTTTAGGGGCGAAAGAAGCTGCAAACAAAAGAGACTGATACCAGCTGTTTTCTGTATCTGGTTAGCARTAAAACCCCCCTATGTCACAATTTTTCTTGGAGAATATGTTCTTTTGTGAATTGTTTTAGCCCATCTGGTTCTGTTTGGAGCAGCTTCCCCGAGGACTTGTTTACAGCTCTGAGCATCATCTCGAGACCCAGAAACGAGGCTCTGACTTGCAGGTTTTTTTAAACAGCGCAGATGAAATGTTTCGCCTCTTTTGGGCCTATTTGACAGCGCGAGGATGTGGATGTCCAAATAAGCAACAACGAGCTCACCCTTCTCCTGCACGGCAGAGCTGGCAGCGGTGAGACGGTAAAAAGCGTGTTATTAAGCTTCATCTCGTTACAAATTACACAGAGCTGATGACGACAGAGATCTCACTGGAAACCGTGCAGACCAGAAACCAGAGTTTTGGTCGACGTGAGGTCACTTCTGAGCACCTCAAACATACCGGGCCCAAATTATAGGGAAACCACTGGAAATAAAAATACCGTAAAGCAAAGAGGAGCCGTGTGAATTCATAAGCCATGTGAATTGTCGGTCGTTATATAGGAAMAGTGGTCAAACATGGAGCAAAATTACAGCAATAAATCATCGAACGAGCTGGTAGTTTGGCATAAACGCTAAACTAAAGTAAACATCATATGAGCTGTAGTTGTTAAGGGTTATATCTCAACGAGCTGTGACAGTCAGAGACATGAAAATGCTTGAAGTCTTGTTGGAAGTGGGACCAACATTTGCCAGGAGTTTGCAAATATGTATCTAAAATAAATAAATAAAAATACAGATATACAGTAGATACAAAAACTGGTAAAATACAGTATAACGATGATTTTGGAAAAAATACCGCTGCCCTWTATTTAGCCCTTATTGTGTTAGCTAAGGTCAACTAGGTGTGGTGGCCATCTTGGATTGGGTTCATGCCAAGTGTTATGAGTTGCCGCAACTACTTTCKGTGAGTTTTACTCCAATCTGTTTGGTGATTCATGGGATATTTTGCTTACAGACAGATCCTGAAATGGGCTGTGGTCAGAGTACGTGTTAGGGATGACTTTCAGCTACTACCACACCAAATTTTAGCACTATGTGTAAAACTGGCAACCCTGTATACGCCAGACCAGTCGTTGCCAGATGATTAAATGGTAAACGGTTGTACTGTCCCTTTAAAACATTGCTTTTTGACCCAAACTGTCATATATGCTGAGTGAGGATGTTTTAAAATAAGAGTGTGTTCTAGTGAATAAACTAACATTCCTTCGTACATAGGACGTTACATTTTTTGGATTTGGTCCTACATGCTGAAAAGGGTGAGTAGCACAACAAAACACACGGTCTGCCGTAATTCTTGTTTAGCCTGTCGTCGCTTGTGTGCGCATGCGCCGGGCTTTACGACAGCTGCGCAGAGTCGCGGAGGGGGAAGTGGGGGTGGGCACCCCTCCCACCCTACCTGGCATCATCACTGCAGGTGGGTTTCTAATCACAGGTGATGTGTAAACTGKGTTGCAACAAAAATGTTGAGGTTCRCTGAAAACCAGCTCTGTGTAAACGGCCCCTAAATCATAGCAAACGTTGATTAGCTGTGGCGGCCATCTTGWTTTGTGTTAAACCTGTTAATTCTTGAGATAGTTTTCCTAACAAACACCGCAGACACAATGTGCTGTGCTTTTTGTATGTGTTGGGAATGAATGTCTTCCACTACCACACCAAATTTTAGCTCAACATCTGTAAAATCGTCTGAGTTGTAGCCATTAGCGTTAGCTGGCCGATTAGCTGTGGCGGCCATCTTGATCTGGGGTTGCCTCAGGAGTTTCATCAATCATAGGCGAACAACTGTTTTCTGAAAGTTCCAATAAAATGCATCTAGTGGTTTATGAGATATTTTGCTAACGGAAAAACATAGTTTATTCGAACAGTTAATGACAAAGTTTTAAAACAAATGTTTGCTAGATTAGCTTAGCTTGGCGGGCATCTTGCGTTTGCTTAGGGCAATACCATGTAAAATCAACTTTTTTGAGTTTWATATCATGTAATAATGTTATACTCTCATAAAAAACATGCCCAAAGCCTTGCTTTGACTCATTCATGCATGTTTGAGAAATCCTGCAGCGTTTTTAGGAAGCCATGCTGAGGAGCAAAACGACAGGTGGGGACTAGGAACATCCCTGGGATCAGTGGGATGTGTCTTTAAGTCCATGGCAGGCCATTTTGACCAGTTAAAATATAATTTGAGATGTCTTGAATAACAAATATGACTTGTCATAAATAAATTTCAGATATCTGGGGCTGTGTCCAAAACGGCAGGCCGGGTCCTCCRAAGGCCGAATTCGTCGGCCGCATACGTCACAGCGCCGCGACGAAGGCCGTCCAAAACCGATGACTCCTCCGATGCGGCCGACAAATACGTCCTTCCTTTTCCTCGATTTGAAGGACTGGTCCGATGGATCCTTCCCGGCCCAGCGTATCCCATAATGCTTTGCGGCCCGACCGGAGATTTTTTTAAGCTAGTAATGGCGGACGAAGCGAGACGAATACGTTTTAAATAAAAATATGGCGATATAAAAATTTAAATTTTTTTAGCGGTTGTAATTCTAATACTTTTATCATTTGTGTGGACATGTTTTTAAATATTATTTTTGTCATAAAAAACATGAAATAACATGCACCTACAGCGGTTCAATTAGTTCTTCAAATGATACCTTTAAGTTAATTTTATAGTTTTGTGATATTAATAATGCTAATGTATTGATAGTTTTCTAGTTTTGATTTAAGTTGGCTTGTTTAGCGTCATCACAGTTGCTAGGTGTCGTATGGCGTAACGTAAGGATGGGACGCTAGACCGTCCAAATTCACAGCCTCTTTTTTTTCCGGTCTTCCCGGTCTACCAAGGACCCGGCCCACCTCGATCGGGTAGTCTGGGTCCTCCGGAGGACCCGGCCTGTCRTTTTGGACACAGCCCTGGAATGGAAGTGTCGTGAATCCGATTTTATGCTAAAAGGGCTTGCCGTATTATGCCAACTTCCTCATCGCGGAGCACATCTCTCCACCCTACACCTCGCCCATGACTACGCAGGCTAGCAAACGAGTGAAAGTGAAASTGAAACTGTCTGCTGAGCTCTTAACTATTTCTCACCAGTGAAGCTCATCAGATTAAAAATACCTTTGAGGAAATGTATTTTCAGATGCCAAGTAAACTGCATCATAGCGAATGCGCGACCCCCCTCCGGCACCGAAATGGATGGGACAGAAATGGAAGGCGGTTCTTAAAGAGACAGAGGCCAATTTCAAGGCGTTTAGAAGAGGAACTGATGAGAAGTTAAGTTTATTTTCTATTTAAACATAAAAACACTATTTTAATAACAGCTAAAGCTGACATAGGTTATTTTTATTATGGTATGGTATTTAAATATATGCCAGAGAAACACATAATATTGACCCTTTAAACCTTAACTAAATGGTGATTACTTTCTGAGAGTTTCACTTCTTCATGTGATATTTTGCTAACAGACTGACAACCCAACACACACGTTTGGGCAAAAACAATAACATAATTCCCCTTTTTCAGTTTGGCGGCGGGCTACAATGATACAACCATGTTTAMTGTGAGCGGATACGACAGAGCTGGTTGGCTCCTGAAGGGGGTGAGGGGGTGGGCTCGTGCGTGTGTGCGCACCGTAGTGACAGTGGGAAGTGCAGTCCGCGTGCAGCCAGCGCGAGGAAGAGTCCTCCCATCAAACTGAATGGCTGCAAATAAAACGGTAAGAACAGCTCTTTTTTTTAAATAAATATGCTTTTACTGCACTTTTAAATTATTTTTACACACAGAAACAGTATCTTATACATGTTGTTTTAAACAGCTTAAACATGTAGTGGTGATAATGTAATTTCTTGTGACAAAGAGTATATTAGTAAAATGAGCACATGTGTTGGTAAAGAAGGAGTGATTTGTGGAGGAAAAAGTGATAAAACTTTACCCTAACAGAAGAAAATAGTTGTGGTTTAGAAAAGGGCTATTTTCAGGTCCATAATATGGTGAATTACACAAGAACTTGTTTTGATTGTGCAACAAAGATTTGAGGAATTAATAACACAGAGTGGCTGCTGCAGTTGGTGGTGAGCTCATGCCCAAATGGTTCCTCTGTGATATTTTTCCTACACTTATTACTTAAGGGACTCTTCCTTTCCACTTCTCTGCAGTCCGCTGATTTATGTCATGTAGTTGGAATGAAAAGTGCTGCGCAGGGGGTGGAAATCTGGCTCTCTGGAAGTCCAAAAAAACCAGGAGGATTGTTTTAACCATTAGCCTCATGATATCACTGGCATGGAGCTTGTGTGGTGGGATTTTGGGGTATATTTCTGTGCCGTGGGGGTTAAATCGCTGATTTTATTATCTACTTCATATTATCTTATTAATATGGCTGTAAAATTGGTCATAAATTAGATTTACACTGTTTTGAAAACCCCTCAAAATCACCACAATGAGCCTTTTGGGCTCAGATTGTTTATCGATATCAGTGACTCATCAACTCTTCCAGCAGATGCTCAAACTGTTTGCTGAAGCTGGAGTATGGCACAAGTGGGGAAACGTCGTTGAGCCAAGATTTGCGTCGACCTGAAACATTTGCTTGGATTGGCGGACATCCCTGCGTACTCGTTTTGGGTTTTCATGCTGGTGGAAGAGAAAAATAAAAGCACTTCGGTTCGTGAAGGTTGTTTTCCCAATCTGGACTTTTGGAAAAGTAAGCGATAGAGTCACCGGAGTTGCAACATTGCTGGGCGATGCTAAGATTTAACCAATTGGAGTTTGTGATATTTCACCTTTTCATTTGCCTAGAAGGTAAACAACTGAATTACCAGTGGTGGACATGGTTCTAATCCCACAACTATAATAGCAAAATTATTTTTTCATGTAGCGGATTAGCTTTTTCATTAACTTTGGAAACCATTAGCAGATGATTTACCTTCTGCTAAATTAGGTTTTGCCAACTTTGAGTCCGCTAACAGCTAACTAACAAGGTAACATCAACAGGTTTGGGTCAGCACCAGTCTTCAGGTCAAAGGAGATGAAGACGTGTTACATTAGTTGTATTTAAGATATTCCCTTAACAACTGAAAGTTAAGGGTGATTTACCTTGCCATGTTTATATAAAAATTTGTAGAAACATAAAATATCACGAGTGACTATCAGAGTCCTCTGACGTTCAGTCATTTGCATGACACAACGTTAATGGCTCGTTCACACCGAGAGCGTTTTGAGCGGCAGGAGCTGCCAGTTTACATGCAAAGTCTATGGCGAACGCGCCTCAAGGGGTTGTGCGTCGCGTCACGCGCGTTATGAGCGGCGCGCAAGGAAGGCGGAAGGGGCGCAGAGCGTTTTCCGTGCATGCGGTGCTGCAGAAGCCTCCGCCAGAGTTCAAATATCTGAACTTTCATTTATAAAGGATTGCGTGGAAACCATACTAAAAGTGAACGTACGGCCAAAAGG